CACTATCCATATACAGTAAGAGAAAGTCAAAACTGGAATCTGTTTGTGGCGTGAGTTAACTGTATTTGCATAGGGCTCAGCAGAATACCAGCTAATGTAAAAAATAACAACACAAACCACAAAACCCTACAAAATCCCTTTACCTTGCAGCACAGTAGCTCAAAAATGTAATTCTGTCACTAGGGGTCAGTATTAAAACATATTACCCTTACACAATACAGCCAGTGGCATTCTATTGTTGATTCCCTCCTTCAGAAACACAAACTTATGTTATAAAGAAGAACTATTAAACCATAAAAAAATACAAGCCCTATACAATGGATTATTACCTATTTCTGTTCTTAAATGTAGCTCTCAGGTACTAGAAATGTTTGTTCCTGTTCTCATAAATTAAAACATATATTCATGCGAGTTTATTATCTTACATAATACCGACTCTTCAATATTGATCCATTTATGTGAATCTTGTTCCATCTACAATCTTGAAAGCAAAAAGCTATGAAGAAGTTTCCCATGGTCTAATAAGGAAGATGACTACCTCGTGATATTACTACGTAACAGTAATAATCATTGCTTCCCAATAATAGTCACAAAATTTGAAATGTGAGAAAACCAGACATTCTTTAAATTTGACAGCCATACCCATCTTAAAAACCATAAAAATCTGTTGTGGATACTGAAAATCGTCATTAAGAAGGTGCAAGACTCTCACTACAGGTGGGCATTATCCACATGGAATAGACTAAGGATGTATTTTTGGGTCATTAGATCCGTATATATGAATTTCAGTTTGGAATCAATGCAACACCCACAGAAGTCAAAGGCACAACTCGCTTTCTCCTCGCTGGGCACTGCCCATAATCAGTGAGCTCCCAACCTACCTCCCTATCCCCAACCTACTCCCAAATCTTGGAAATCTTGATGCATTTGAGAAAGCATACATTCAGATGCCGTGATAATGCCTGTAACTGCCTATATGGACATAATTTTGCTAACGTAAATAGGTCCACTGATTCCTGTGAAGAATTAGAGAACTAGACAATTAAATGACATCAAGCTTGTTGACTTCTCAATTTTGAGGATGACACTTCACTATTTTGAATACAGATATAATACTTAGAAATATGTAACGTCACACTAATTATAAACCCCAGGAGAAATATTCTACCAGATCATAAGTCTGTCATGTACCACAATTTCCTGCAGCCCTTAGTACAGCTGAACAAAAACCATCCCTTTCCTTCTTCCCCCAGACCAAACCCTAACTGAATGCTATAAATTTTGCGCTTAAAATAAACAATTTAAGACAAATATTATTGAGGCTGTTAATTAGTTTTCATGTCCAGTACAAAGCTCTAAATTTCAGAGCATATGTTTTTCCTTAGTAGTAACTCCATTAGGTGCCCAGAATTCAGACATTGCCAGATTTATGAAGACAGTTATTAGAAATGGCATTTATGCTACGACAATGCTGAAGAAAAGAGCTGGTCAAATTAATGTCTGACTAACTGACTAACGTGTTACTTCTAACTAATATCATATTTATATCGAACACGATTAGCTTATCCTAAATGCATGAAAAGCAAAAATAATTGATTATACGCTAAATGGGAAAAAATAGGCGGAGGCTGAAGTAAATTGTTTGTTCCGTAGTTAGTTGCACAGCACAGAATAATTTATTTTTCTGCCCAATAGATGGCACTGCTGTTTCTTTGTGTGTAATTTTGCAATTTGTGCATAATGTATGTTATTGAAGCGACTGTGCCTACATTTTCCAACCCTTGGACACGTCAAAAATAGACAGATTTCACAGAGTCCTGAAAATGGCATTCTGCTGTCCAAATAACTGTATACAGTTTTCAATAAAGCAAGTTAGTGTTCTGGATTAAAAAATGTGAAGCGGATGCAAATACCCAGCTGAACATAATTTCCTTCTTCCCAGAAGCTGACCACAGAAACGAATTCTGACACATATATCAAGGATGGCCTCAGAGCTACACACTTTATAACATAACAAAATAATCTCTTCATCGTACGTTACAATAAGTACTTGGGATTTTAAGCTGCAGAACACTCTGCAATTTTATTGTTATTTAGCCAAATGATTAACAAGTTTACAGATAATTTATCATCAATATACAGCAGCATTACAATTCTGTCATTACTTTATAATAAAATTCTGATAAAAGCATCATCTGGGGGTGTCAGTTTGTAAACTAATGAGGCATTTGACCACGTACTTTTTTTCTATGTGCTACAGATGCATGATACAACATCAGCTCTGTTCTGGTAGAGATCATATCGAAAATCTATGTTTTCCAGTAAGCCCAAAAAAACATTTCTATGGGACTCATGTTTTCTCCTGCTCTGGATCTTTGGTTAAACTACTATGGGGGCCAGTCATTCATAAATTTATTTATTTTTGCCAAATCGTGGTTGCTTGGGGACTTGTGTGAAATGACAAGCTGGTCTCTGTCCCGTTCATCGTGAACAGGTGTTCTAATTACAAAACCTCCACCATATTTGACACCTTTATTAGCTGTCTCGGTTGAGAAACAAAGGATTGATTGGGTAGGGGTATAGAACGAGCCTTTCATTGCTGTGGGGAAGCACCTAAAGGTCAAGGTTAATATACATTAGTGGGGGGTAGCATTGCCCATTGCCTATGCTGTTCTTGTGTTATTAATCAATGGAAGACTTTATCCTTATGAGCTAGCTATTGTGGGAGCCTTAATTACACAATTTGCTTTAACTTCTCCTTTTTTTCATATCATATGAAAAGCAGACAACACTTCTTGACCAAATATTCCTAACAAAACCAATAAATCTCCAGCAAAAATGGCAGTGTCTTGTACTCCATTTACATTCTGTAATACATACCGTCCACAATGAAAAGACAAGGTACACGTCCTTCAATCAATATAATACATGCAAAAATGCTCATGAAATGAAATATGGCAGAGCACGTGCATATTATTTCAACAAGACTGAATTTTTGGCTGGCTGCTAAAAAAGTGGAAACATTTACTGTAAATAGTCTTCCCTGTACTGTAGCCATTTTGTTCTGGCCACATAAGGTCTACCTGCTACTATTAGCTTTATGATTTAATATTCTTGGAGGGTTTATAACAAGAATCTAATATATAACCAATGAAATGGCACTAGTCTCATTAGTCTCATTCGGGACCAGAAAATTATCAACATAATTACACAGCTAAGTCACATCATTACAGAAGTATATCAGCATCTTCATTATATATACACTTATTTTCAGTGGTTTACAAGACACACACAAAAAATATTCCAGAATGAAATATGATTATGGTAACTCAATCTGGAATGCATTTTCTCCAAACTATTTTTTTTCCTATTATGTGAATGTAAAATAAATATGGGCCAGATACTCAGTCAGTGAGCTGGAACTATACCAATTTGTATCAGCTGAGGGTTCAACTCTATATATTCATTTATAGATCCTAGTCACACTTGGACCCTTCTATGACTTATTAATGGTTTTGATTTAGAAATGAAGCTTTGAAGTAATTATATAGTCACATGGCATTCATCCAATATACATATTTAATGTAAATTATTGCTTCCTGATTTTCACAGAAGACCTGTGATTAGATTATCTGGTGCTTCCATATTGTACTCGGAGCTGGATTGTGAAGAGAGAGAAGTATGTGTAAGCCACCTTTACAATTTCCTGACTCTGCCCAGCAAGAAACAAATACGGAGCCCATTATAATGCAGAGGAACAGAGAGGGCTATTTCCCTGCCTGAGGTCTGAGAGAACTGTTCTAGCAGTTGAGCTGAACAATGTCCTGACTATCTCCTTGGCAAAAGAAGCTGAATGAGTTGGCATGAGCTGCTATACCAACTCAAAACTCTCCAGAGATTCCCTTTTCACAATGCAAAACCTCAAAGGGCTGTGCTACGAAAACCAGCTGTAGCAGAGCTGAAAGTTTGACCCCTGGACTCCAGCACTGTGCTCTTTTTATGTGTGTATGACTCCCACTGACACCAACTGAAGAGTCATGCACATGAGGAGAGCAGAATATCAGACAAAAAAAAATCTACTACGTGAATCTGAGAACAGAGTATTATTCTCTTGTGTCAAATTATGTCTCCATCTGGTAACATTAAGTGAATTCTGGTGACTATTAGAGCTGAATCAATAAATTGAAGCAAATAATTTATTTGGTGAGTTATTTTACTTTTTCACTTCAAAGAACGCCTGCGAATGGATTACAACTTCCTTAAGTATATTCCAGGAAACTTTTAAGGAATTTTATTTTATGGTTTGTTAGTTACATGTGATTGCTCATATACTTCAGGCTGCTCTGTTTCTTCTCCCTGAACAGAACTTTTAATAGAGTTGGGGTAACAGAACTCTGCAACTGACAGTAGAATTTAGTTGATGCAATTATTTTTGAGCTTACAGTCAGCTAACGATCCTTAGTTACTTATTTTGAATACTGAAATTACACTTATTTTCTTTTAGATAATGCATTATCTATTACCTGGGAAACAATAAAAAAAGAAAGACAATCCTAATATTCAGAATATCCGAGTGCTAGCTCTCTCAAAGACTGGGTTTAGATCAGTCCAAAAAGTTGCATGAACCATCAAATCTGAAAGGATACCTGACTGATTTTGAATTTTCAAAAAATATCTCACACAAAATGTCTTAGATTACGAGGCATATTTTCCTCATATGTTCACTTCAAAACATGATTTATATCTCTGCTTTCATTACATCTGCTTCATACCTTTCCTTGATACAGCAAATGTTAGTAGAGATAGCATAACTCTTGTAAAAACGATGAGAACCAACCTATTCCAGATGACTCATAAGCACCAAAAAGTGTCTTACAGTCAAATTCAAACAGACCTGCCTTGCAGGATAAGGAGAGATGAGGCATTCTTTAAAAATCAAAATATTACCACCTGTGTTCAGATTAATGTTTGAAATAAGAATTTAATTTTTGCAGACTCACCTGGCATTACTAGGACTGTCTGCTGTCAAATTAACTAATGCTGTCACTGCAGCTTCTTTTACCTCTTCATTGTCACTGCTTAGCAACTGCACTAGCGGGGGAATCCCTTTGAAAGAAATAATTGTACACATGAACCTTTAAATAAACCACGGCAGTTGGCAAAATTATAATATGCTCCTTATAAAAGGAAAAGCACAGATTCTCAATTCATCCCTTCCCACCTCACTTACCCTGGACTCCAAGTGCACGTTTGCTAGCTGAATTCTCACACATGGCAGAAATTGCTTCCGAAGCAGCAACTTTAACTCCATCATTATCAACTTCCAAAAAGTTTATGAGACACTTCTCAACCTCTTCCTCCCTTAAGATTTTTCTATTTTCAGCTTTAAACAAAAAAAAGTAGTAGCATTAATCTGCTTTCATTTTCCAAAACAGTGTAAAGACATTAATTTTATTTCATATAGCTGTTTCCAACGTAACACTTGTTCTTGATACCATGGAAATGGAAATATTTGGTAACAGAGACACCAGCAATTAAGAAACGTGCACAAAGTACCTCATCCAAAACCCATTAGACTTCAGTGAACTCTGAATCAAGCCCAAAAGACGACTCTTAAATATAGCTTCAAGCATATATAACCCGAAAGAATGCAAAGTTTGTTCTCTATAAGACTTAAAACCACAGAATGCACACAGGCTTGCTAAAAACAGCTTTTCCAATTCAACAGATCATACTTACTCAGGATCGTGCCCAACTTCGGTTTATGCTAACAAAGTCCAAACACATAAAACTGAAGAACATAGTAGTAAATGTAAAATCAAACTTGGGGAATACGAGTTAACATACCACAATAGCCAGAAAAAAGGCAAGGGGTATTAAAAATTGAATTTTAAATTCTGCACAGCTTGTGGTTCTTCGTTAATGCACACTTTGCAGAGAATTTCAATTGTGTATTTTAGCCTGGTGACATGGGGTTCCCTGCTGCAGAGCTACGCTGCAATGATCGGCAGCAGCTAACGAAGGATGTTCCCTCCCTCTACTCAAGCAACACCACAGACCATCCACAAAGCATCTACAGTCATCTGAGAATTATACTAATAAGCTCATTCATCCCCAAACGGGTGAGATCAGCAGTGCAGGTGTTTGTTAGAAAGAGCCTTGAGCGAAACTTTCTCAGCCAGAAAGGCTCTGGACAGCACGGAATCTCTACGGTTATGAGGGTCAATAAACATTTAACCATACGCATAATTTGAAGCGGATTAATTACATCCTTGACATTATATCTACATGGTAAAATTTTCACACATATCAAAGAAATTCAGGAACTTGGAAGTCAGTAGGGTTTTTGACATATTTGGAAATTTTACCAGTGCTTACTAATGCTTTGAGGGATCATTTCCTTATTTGGAGGTTATCTTATGAATAAAAGGTTTAAAAAGGAAAGAAAAATAACGTAAGTACTCTTTTAAATAAAACTGAATCTGTAGTGAATAAAAGTAAACAAAAAGAAGTCCACAAAGCCAATGAAATTAAAGTTTGATTGCAAATCTGTTTAGAGCAGAAATGACTTAATGCTCCCCTCTAACTCAATTTTAAATATTTTTTGAACAATCAGAGATATGCAACTGAAATCACAAAGCAAAAGATGCAACAAATAAGGGAGAATATTAAGTGTTAGCAGAACCTTGGCCACAACCTTGATGCATATCAGCCAGCTCTCAAGAGAAGGCCTTAATTGGGATTACAGCCCGTTTCGACAAGTTATCAAGTATGCTGCTGGCCTGTTCCTTGCCAAAGTAGTCCATAATCCCTAATAATGATCTCTAGAGGTTCTTCATGCCTCAGTAATTTGCTTCTTGTACAGCAACTTAAACTTATTACTCTACACATTTTCTTAAAAATTATTCCTGCTTTTACAGACAGTTATGATGATGGGTGTTTCATTTTAAAGATAATTTATGCCTCTATGTAATAACAGTAATAATAATAAAATGAATAGTCAATTTGAATGAGTGAAAATAGCGATTTGAAATATTTCAAACAGAATAAATAATTGCTCGATAATGTGGAAAATCAGATTTTGGATTTGAATTTACAGTAAAGAGTATGCACATGTATTTAGCTAGCTAGACAGTCAGATGAAAATTATTAATATTTTAAGATCTGGGTGCCAATTCTATTTACGGGTTGAATATTTTCTGCTGATCCTCTCTCCATTTGTATGAGTCGGGAAAAGAAAGAATTTACAACTGAAAAGCATCCTTTGTACTTAAGCACTTCTCATGTCAGTGCCAGTACCATATTTAAAGTGATGAATTTCTTGACCCCTAAGTAATTTGAATACATTGATTTAACATGGAGTAAAATACACATGCACACCCAATAAAAGAGTCTGGAGTACTAACACTTCTGTTCAGTTTTTCATGCATTGACCCCATCATGAGCCAACCTTTGTTTTTCAATATATTTTCCTATTTCCCCCTCTTACCCCAAAATCATGATCAGACTTCTCCTGATTACCTTTTCAGCTCACTGTCGTCACCCTCTGGCATTATTTATACCATTTTCAAACGAAAAAAGGTTAATGTTAAATGGTATCACGACCTCTCCCTGATCTTGAGTTGAGATAACCCAGATAAATAAAAACCTGTGTTATGAAAAAGCACATGTTAATCAGGCTACAGAGCATGTTTAGTATGCTCCCTTTTGAAAGGATTTGCATTTAGATACACATAAAGAATGGGAAGAGCCTCAAACCAGAAGTTTGGCAGTGAGGCCAAACTCAACATCCCTTTCCCCATGCACACACCATAGGATTGTGTCGATGCTGGTGTGTCTGGCATTGTCAGGGGAAACTCAGGCCCTCCTTATTCAACAGTCCAGATAACCCACTCACAAATATTCAATAATTTATAGCATTAGATTATATTTTGCATTCTGAAATGGCTGCATTATTTGCTGGGCAAGGAGGGAATCAGAGTAAAATTTACCGCCGTAATTCTGAGCATACAAAATAAAACCATCGTCAAATTAATATATTAAATCCAAAGTTATGTTACAGAACAAAACAAGTTTTCAGGGGCGAAGGGATAATGATTATGTATAGAAATATGATCAATTTTAATTACTTAAACAGAGCAGCATCCTAAAGCTGCTATTTAAAATTGAATACAGTGTTTGTACCATGTAATTTATTCTGATATTGAGAATAGCTCTTAAGGGATAGATCTGTCTTATAACAACAATAACAAAAACTTACAGGAGTCCGTTTCCAGAGGGCTGGAAGGGACATAAAACAAAACTGCTTGGTAAGATCACATCTATCAGGAAAAAAACAAAACTAAAATCCATCTGTCACCAATAATAATTTCAAAACCAGACACTGCTGTATACTCAGCTGCCAGGGTTATAAAAATAGATAGATACATGTTCTATCACAGCAGAATTAAGTTTTTCATTTCAATGAAAACCAGTATTTTTATTTTTTTTTCTCAAGTATGCAGGGAATGTCGGTAAATTGCAACCATGATTATCAAACCTGAATAACGTGGGCTACTGTATGGCTACTGCAAATTTAATGAAAAGGTGATAAAAGAACTTAGAGCTGTGTTGTATTAGATTGGGTTTACATCAAGGCAAGTATTTAGTCTAGTATACATAAGTGATGCAGTTTGGATAGGCTGTTTAGTATATTTACAAGCAGAATCCAAACAAACAAACAAGAACTGCAAGTATTTCTGTTTTCTTTTTGCACTTGGACTATTTCTCATAGTGGCCCCAATGGCACTTTTCTTTCCACTGGAAGGCTGACTTTAGACCAGCAGCTCTATGTATATGGAATATTTCTGGGGGCCATGTTGAGCAGCAAGTTTACTGGACTGTGTTTTCCACTGCACCAGTACACGTTGCCCTTTGTCTAACTGGTTGTCGCCAAAATTCTACGGCTTGGAAGCAAGTCTTTTAAATCTTCTTTTGATCTATTTTCCCAGCTTGCTGCATCCATACCAACTGTCACAGGCTGACGAAGAGAGCAAACCTTTATAATGAAACCACATTGACTCCATTTGTAAAGAAGTATGACAAGAAGATGCATCTTCACTGACGGTAACATCCCATGATATAAGATCATAGGCAGTACTGTAATATATTACGTGTAGTTCTTGCCACCGTGCTTTAAAAATGTTGTGTTCAGACATGCTTCTACTAACAGCTGCTAAAATATTAGGCCACAAAAAGTGAAAAAAGGTGTGGAAGAGGAAAAGAAGGCTATGCTTAGCTGAAAAAAAAAATATGAAAGAGGAGTAAGAGGCAGTATAAAGTAGTAGGAGCAAATATAAATCTGCTTAGCATACTACTTACAAGCCTGTCACAGGACTATCAAAATGATACTGACAGTCCTAAGTAGCATAATAAAATAACAATATAGGAAAATACACAAAGAAAATACTGGCACAAGAAGGTCCCTTCCTATCTTTGATACCTAAACATTAATGAAAAATGATTTCAGTGACTTGCAAAGCATCCAAAGATAATGATAAAAGCATACAGAAACCCACAGAATACTAGGAAAGATAGTTTCCACTCTCTTAATTTCTTATTTGCAATCCAAATAATTACAAATACTCAGGATGTCAAGCTAACGAAGGTGAGAAAAGAACTGGGAAGATAGGAGGGGGAGAGAAGAAAGAAGGTCTGAAATAATGTAGAAAGATTATTTTAGCCATGTATTAAATAATATATTTGTAAAATACACATAAATTAAAGCCATGATTCAACCATGAGATGATAGAAATATGAATGAAATATTTAAGCTCTACTGTCATAGCTAAGAGATTATTTTAGCCATGTATTAAATAAAATACACATAAATTAAAGCCATGATTCAACCATGAGATGATAGAAATATGAATGAAATATTTAAGCTCTACTGTCATAGCTACTGTCATCAAAATCCCTTGACAGAATTCAAATCTTCTATAGACAAAAGTATGTTATTTCTTGCATTGCATTTTGTTAGATTGCACTGCTAGGCATATGTTGCAACTCAGAAGCCAATGTATGGAAGGAATTCCAAATGTCGATTTATTTAAAGAGCATCCTTGTGGGCAAAAATGACAAGAATGTTCTGCCTAATTCAGAATTCCTTGGTGAATTAAAGAAAAGTGTATAAAAAAGAACTATAGGATAAATAATTATAGAATCATAGAATGGTTTAGGTTGGAAGCGACCTTAAAGAGCATCTAGTCCCAACCACCTTGCTCCTTGCAGGGACACCTCCCACCAGACCAGGTTGCTCAAAGCCCCATCCAGCCTGGCCTTGAACACTTCCCAGGGACGGGGCATCCACAGCTTCTCTGGGCAACCTCTTCCTGTGTCTCACCACCCTCAGAGTGAAAAATTTCTTGCTGATATCTAATCTAAATCTACCTTCTTTCAGTTTGAAGCCATTACCCCTCATCCTATCACCACATGTTCTTGTAAAAGGTCCCTCCCCATCCCTCCTGTAGGCCCCATTCAGATACTGAAAGGCTCCATTAAGGGCTCCCTGGAGCCTTCTCTTCTCCATTGAAAGGCTCCATTAATGGCTCCCTGGAGCCTTCTCTTCTCCAGGATGAACAACCCCAGTTCTCTGCCTGTCCTCACAGCAGAGTTCCTCCAGCCCTCTATCATCTTCATGGCCCTCCTCTGGACCTGTTCCAACAGGTCCATGTCTCTTCTATGCTGAGAGCTCCAGAGCTGGACACAATACTCCATGTGGTGTCTCACCAGAGCGGAGTAGAGGGGAAGGTCCAGAGCTGGACACAATACTCCACATGGTGTCTCACCAGAGCGGAGTAGAGGGGAGAATCACTTCCCTTAACCCGCTGGTCATGCTTCTCTTGATGCAGCACAGGATGTGGTTGGCTTCCTGGGCTGCCACCACACATTGCTGACTCATGTTGAGCTTCTCATCAACCAACACCCCCAAGTCATTCTCAAAGCTGCTCTCAGTGAAGCTATTTAACTCCACTGGGAATATTAATCTAAAAGCCATTTGAAAGGCTTTTTTTCATGTCCTTGATAAAGGAATTTTCATTTGAGACGATTGCCTGACATTTAGATGAGCAGTTGTAACCAAAAGCAAGTAAGCTTTTCATTCTCAGCTGATAGCCAGTGAAGGTGGCTTCAGATGGCATCACTGCAAAAGCAAGTAAGCGATGAGAAATAGTGCCAGTGAAGGTGGCTTCAGATGGCATCACTAAACAAAAGATAAAGATCATATTTTTAGAGCTCCATTTTCCTTTTTGAGGACAGCATTTTGCAAGAATATATTACATTTAAAAATAATTTGAGGCAAAATCTTAACATTTTCATATATATATATCTATCTCTAGCCTAGCATCCAATTGCTGCTCTGATTGGCAAGAATCATCACTGTAATTCATTCTTGCAAGTGTTTTCCTCAGCACAAGAACTACCCTCAACCAGATAAGATGGCTTCATTCTGGATGAAGATTTACTTCATAAACAAATTCATGTCCATGAATTTTTAAAAAGTCACATACAGTCATAAGCTGCTCTGGTAATTGCCTTTGCTGCATTCTTCTGAATATCTGGAACAGTAGAATCTCCTACAAATGAAAGTAGCTTTTTAAGGCCTCCTGTCTGCTGAATCAGTTGCAGAGTATGCGTGTCTTCCAGACAATTTCCCAACACAGCAAGAGCTTCCACATGTAGATCGCTGAATTCCTAATGAAGAAAAAAACCCAAACAAATAACCTTCAAATCAGGATTTCAATATCTTGTGCTTTTAATTTTGTAGGATAATTGTCATAACTTTATTTTGCACAGTTTATTCACACTGTAAAATACATCTTTTTCATATGTATACTTTCTGTATAATTTAATTGATGTGCCTTTGCATGCACTACAATTTATCAAAAAGAGTAAAACCAGCAGAAGTTCCTGATTTACATCAAGGTGGGTTAGGCAGGTATTCAGAAAGGATCTGTCACTTTAAAATTTTAAAAACTTCACAAATTTCTCTATGCATTATATTTCCCATGGTGAGATCTGAACTCAAGAAGCACTAAAATGAGTCTCATAATAACATGAGCAGCAAAATTTCCAAGGTAGGAAATTATACTTAAGGCCACTGATAACAAAGCAAATTCAGAAAAAAAAATCAGCGTTCAAACTAGGAACTAGCACCAGAATTCAGCATATAATAAAAAATTTTGAGAAAACCATTATATAAAAAAGCTATATGATGATTTTTTCTGATATTTACAACAGTTTGAGAAATAGACAGTAAATGCAAAACAGTATTACTAGTAGCAATAAAGCAACAAAACTAATATAAACATTTTGATGAAGCCCTTTGGTTCCTCTCTTAGCAAGCTAGGTATCCTAGCTTATCCTCTTTCTATGCAGTTAGTTCTAACTAAGGAGTTCTTTCTTCTTTTATCACTCTTTCATAACATGAACAATAATTTGCATTAGTCATACAAACATTAGCAGCAAGAACAAAAAACTTTTAAGGCAAGTAAACCGTACATTGGTTTCCAGTATCTTCAGAAGACAATCTAATCCGTTATTTTCTCTCAGTATTATCCTGGTTTCTCTGTCTTTGCTAATTTCTTCTAAGATTTTAAGGGCTAACAACTGAATAACTGGGTATTCAGATTTCAGTAGTTCCAGCAAGGGTGGAATTACATTCAGCGCACGAACCGCAGCATGGCTTTGAAAATCCTGCAGTAAAATATTCAACAAAGACTGTTAGTGATAGAGAGTGTAACAGTACATCAATTCCTGACTTTCCAGAAAGAACACCAAAATCTGATTTCAAACATACACAAATGAGTCAATATTCCAGAACTTCCAGTTCTGAAGATTTCTTTCTATTCAGCTAAGAATCCAACTCAATATAATCAAGACCCACCAACCTTAAGTTCCATTTTTTTGCGTGACTGAAGTACACACTACAGAGACTCTTGGTTTTGCCATGTTTGTCTCAACATACATATTTCTTTGAGAAACTTTTTAAAATTTAGTTTCATTATTTTTATTTACCTCAGTGGAGGGGCAAAAGAGCTTTCACACTCTACTGTGGTTGCCTGGTTATATTTCCTTTCGTTTTACTAATTATAAACCAACAATTTAAAATTTCAACTTTAAACTGTGTATATGCAGCTTAGCAAAAAGACAGTAGTAGATGATATTAAAATAGAAAATAAATAAATAAATTACAATTTGCTTTTAAATAGCTTATTGCATATGTGCAGCATGCAATTATCCTTATCAATATAAGCAAGCACCAGGTGCAGTTATCCAGATATACCCTGCAACAAAGACAGCGAGATAGTAAAAAGGGAGAAAGAGTAAAATGTGATTCTGAATAGACATGCTCTGATGCCCCAAAAGAGATAGAGTTATAAACTGAATTCATTATTGAATTGATTCGCTTAAGCCATGGAGAGAACTGCCATACAAATGCACCATTCTTTTGCTAAGCAGCATATGGATGACATTAGTGCTGAGTGTGAAAGTAGCCAATAACAAATCTATTCCTCCCAGTATGGAAAGTAGCTGTTGACAGCATTCACCTATCATTAAAAAGATGTTCAAAATTGTGACTATAGACTTGCTGGCCAAAACAAGGCACAATGCAAATTGCAAGGTCTTTAATTTACAGGATTATTCCAACCTTTTGGAAGGACAGGTTATAACTCTCATTACCAAGAATAGCATTTGCCAAATTGATCTTTAATTTAAAAAATCTGAATCTGATCTCACTTACATTGCTGTACAGCATGGATAACTGCATTAAGTTAAACAGAATTAGTCAAATCAGCTATGTTCATAACTAGTGCAACAATCAAGGACTTGGGTGTAATGTTTTCAAATACTTTGATGAACACTGGGGAGTAAAGGAACCAAATATTTTAAAATTATTAATCCCACAAAGGATGGCAGGGGTGGGGGAGAAGTGCTTTTCTGCCTCTGTCATTTAAAACAACAACAAACTTTACCTGCATCACGAGGTAGATACATTCAAGCGAATTCTTCTTAACATCAGGATCAGGGCTACCTAGCAGTCTGACAAGTGGTTCTAATCCACCTTGCTCAAATATTTGTACTTTAGTAGTATATTCAACAGCCATGTGTGCTAGGCAGAGACTAGCAAATTCATGGATAACTACTTCTTCTATGGGGAGGGAAAAAAGAAATATTTTGGTCAAGTTTTATTCAGCACAGTATATGTTCGCTAATCCAGTGGTTTAAAATATTATTTCAAGTCAATAAACAAGAGCTGTTAATCATACCTGACATCTCCATAAACATCTTGCTCCATCTGTACAACATAAAACACTACTCAGTGAGTAACAGAGCTAATCCTATAAAAGTAATTACCTATTTAACATGTAGTATGACAAATCATAAGTTACAAGGAAGATTTTATTAAATTGTCCAATCAAATGGCAATCATAAATTATTTCTGAGTGTATTTTTGCACAAGGAATGAATACTGCAAGCTACCTTCTGGCGCCAGCTGTGATATAAGTGAATTTGTGACATCCAGTTCCCTCAGTAATTTCTTGACATCATCTGCAATGAAATAAATACAAATGCGAAGCCTTTCGTTTGGCAATCTTGGCTGAGCAAAGAAACAGACTCTACTCCAAGGGATATGTACTTATGGTTACTCCCTGAGTGACAAAAAGATCTGAATGGGAATGACACACAACTGAAGTTATACCAAGATCATAATGGCCCAGAAATCAGAGAGAAGATTTTCAAGTACCAGATGACATTTTGTGACATTTGATATATAGGAAGTTCCTCAGTACTTCATTGAAACATTATTCAAAATACTTACATCTAGCAGGTTCTGATTAAATATTGCACAGTTTTAGTTGTCAAAGAAGTTGTAATCTAATAGTTAAAATTATTTGTGGTTAAAATTATCAAAATAAAAGCAATCCTTCCGTTATTTAATTTTCAAGCCATCACTTTCTAATTTTATGCTAACACAGCCCACACTGCAAATTGAAAACATGAATTATATAGGTCTTATCAAAATCACATTGAAGACTTTCAGAATGCATTTTTACTGTCATCAATGGCAGGATATCCACAACCACTGGACAGAATAACCAAAAAACATTCTTTGTGTTTTTCAGACTTCATGTGATCTTACAAGGCTGTGTTGTTACTATCTACACATTACGGTGTTAAAATCCAAGAAAAGAGGTATGAGTTGAATTTACTTTACTTCAGTGGTGTTCATTCAAGCTGAATGTGTTCCTTTATTCTGGGCCGTTAAAAAAGGATTTCTTCACATGGGCCACCCATTGCTTTGATGACCACACTCATAAACATTGAAAAATATTCAAAAATGGAGACTCTTACGATTAGAAGCCATGATGCCAAGTACCACGATGGCATTTCTGCGTACAATTGGATCTTCATGTGAGATGAGTTTAAACAGATGTTCCACTGCTCCAAGACCAAGAAGTGTCACTTTGTTCTCATCACCTGAAGAGTAATTAGGATAAAGTTCTATAAAAATGCAGCAAGCTCACAGTTCTAATGTAACGAAGTAAACCAGCTACCAATCTTTCATTGGACTGTCAAATCAAAGAACAATGGCCTGGGCAGGACCTTGGGACATCATCTAATCTATGCCCCAAATAGATTTATTTTATTTTATTGACAAATAAACATGTGTCAAATAGTATCAAGGATTTGTAGTATCTAGGATTAATTCACGTTCGTAAAGCAAAGGATGTTTCTGTCTATTGGACACCCAACTAATTCTTTGGAGACTGCAGTGGTAGTACAAAGGACAGCTTTCTACTTAACAAAGCAGACACCAAGATATCATAAAAAACCCGTCGTTTTCCTCTTTTCTTGCCTCCCAATTTATTTTCCTCAAAATAACAGTTAATTCAGCCTATGGATCTGCACTACCCATCAACTGAAGCAACTGCAAGGATTTGGATCCTTAAATCCCACCTGAAATTTCTACCACCTGAGAATGGAGCACTTTGTAGCTGAATACTCTCTGGCCATGCAAAGGACAGAAGCATTTTGTATGATTACAGCCTTCAGTTCTTTCTCACTCAAAAAACACCCAAAGAAACAAGAAAAAAACCCAAGAAACAAAATCCGAAACCTACTTCTATTCTTGGTTCCCACAACAGCTTTATAATTAATTTTCTAACGAAGCAAGTGAGCAATGCAAGAAGAAACTGGAGGACTATGCTCATTCTCAGGCCAAAATACAATTAAAATAAAAGAACTATTTTTTATTGAGGGCTAGGACATATTTTACTAGCAACATTCAAGACATGTTCTACTCTGCTCGGGTGAGACCCCACCTGGAGTACTGCATCCAGCTCTGGAGCTCCCAACAAAAGTACATGGACCTGTTGGAGTGGGTCCAGAGGAGGGCTCTGAAGATGGTCAGAGGGCTGGAGCACCTCTCCTATGAAGACAGGCTGAAAAAGTTGGGGTTGTTCAACCTGGAGAAGGCTCTGGGGAGACCTTATAGCAGCCTTCCAGTACCTAAAGGGAGCCTGCAGGAGAGGTGGGGAGGGACTCTTTACCAGGGAATGGAGGGATAGGATGAGGGTAATGGTTTTAATCTGAAAGAGGGGAGATTTAGATTAGATATTAGGAAGAAACTCTTTACTGTGAGGGTGGTGAACCTGGAAGAGGTTGCCCAGGGAAGTAGTGGATGCCCCATCCCTGGACTTGTCCCTGCCCATGGCAGGAGGGCTGGAACTGGATGATCTTTAAGGTCCCTTCTAACTCTAACCATTCTATAATTCTATGAAATAAATTAACTGCAAAGTGAAAACAACTCCTTCTCTTGAGACCCACTGCGAAGTCTTCTGGAAGACTGCAGGAATAACAATGATATAGCAATGATAATATTAACATTTTAAAGGATTATTCATTTAGTAGAAATAGAAAAAATAAATATTTGTCCTCTTGCAGTGTGCTGTATTTTACTGTGGACAGCAAGGAAGGAGCCAACAGAGTGTATGTTGTGTTGTGTACAGCTGTCTCCTGACAGTCCAAATTCTCTCTTCACATGTTCAAAATTTGGTTGCATGCCCTCAGCTAAGCTTGCCATATTAAGCTGAACCTAAATATCTTTCAGAACCCAGTGATCCTTCAGACCCTTCAGCTCTTCTCTTACAACTTAGTAGTGTTGATGATTGCCATCAGCAATCAGCATATAAATCCTTATTTTTTTAAGAAAAAAATAAATTAAATGGAAATTAATATTAAAACAAATTAATTACAGCAAGAATACTACCAGTGTACACCAATTAGAGTGGCTGACATGGAATGAGTAGAAGACAACTTAGGACATTATGTGCTGCATAATTTTGAGCCTTTGTTATACAGTTGTCTTCTGGGTACCCAGAACATGATGCTTAGCTAGAGATAATACAGGGACCTTTGGAAAATTTGGAATCTTGTAGACTTGCTATTTTCCCAACAAATGCAGAAATAAGCTTGATAAAGGAGGCTGAGCAGTCTCTAATAAAACATCTGTCACAAAAGTACTGACACAAGAGCTATAATATATAATATATAATAACAGACACAGGTTAAAAAGTAATTTTCATTGAAAACTGAACCTTGAAATAACTACACTGGTACAGAAGTTTCAAACTGTAACATAAAAAAGAGAATTCTTTCTCAGATGCAAGTCTGTTGCTCATAACAAAACAGATACAGGTTGTATTTAAACCAAGCTCCATTAAACAGAGAATATAAAATTCTACAACAAAATTATAAGAATTTCCATCACAGAAACCACAGGACTTCTTTATAACTGCAAATACAGGTTTGATAGATATTTCAGAAAACCCCCAAAACCTTGACAGAGAACTTTGAGATGAAATGAAGATTTTGGTGCTAGGAAACCAAAAACTTGTGAACTACTATCAAAATCTAAGCAACACAAAGGAAAGCTCATTGCAAAAAGACTAACCTTTTGATGCGAATTTATACAGAGCATCACATGCTTTAGCCAAAATTTCCTCTTCAGGAGAACTAAGCATTAGCACAACTGTTGCTGCTGTTTTGCTTTCAACCAATAATGGATCGAACTACAAATGAAACAACAAAAAAAGAAAGAATAGTTTGATTTATCCTGTGTGCTGCGGTAGATTCCCACACTTCATTAAAAAAACATAGTTTGAGTTAGAAATATTAATGAGTAGCTATTAGGATCAAACTACAAATGAAGCAAAAAAAAAAAGAAAGAATAGTTTGATTTATCCTGTGTGCTGCGGTAGATTCCCACACTTCATTAAAAAAACATAGTTTGAGTTAGAAATATTAATGAGTAGCTATTTACTTGGAGAAATTAAAATTTTTAAGAACAATTTGAGATGTTTTTGAAAAATAAGAATGAATAATTGACTTCCAAATATAATCATTATTTCATCCTGTGTCGTGGTTCAGGCCAGATCAGCAAACGACGAGACGACAGAAGAGGCTTAACTGAGAAATCAAATCACTGAACTGAAAGTTGGTTCTGTTCTGCCTCAAACCAGGACATCCTGTATGAAGATGTCGAGAAACCCTTGACAATTCCCCTTACATCTCAGAAGTCTTGAAGGTAACAAACTATGTAATTCTCTTACACATGTAAGAGCATCCTGTGGCTTCAGAACCGCAGGATTCTGAAGTTTCTTTTGAGCAGCTGTGCACAGAGCCTGCCACGTTAGGTGGTGTATGAGCAAGAGGACTTGATTACTCTGTGGCATTAACACTTTGTGGTTTCTTTAAAAAAAATAAAAAGACGGAAAGAAATACGGAAAGAAATCTTACCCTCTTAATAGACTCTTCAGGACTAACATCACTTGAGCAAGGGAATCTTCTAGAAAAGCCTTTTGTTCTTTAACAAGGCTCAAGGGTTTCTGAAAATTCTACCCATTAAAAAGTTTTAAGCTTATTTGGATTTAAAATAATTTTTTAATATGGAAAAAACTGTCTTCTCTCTTCAGACTTTAGGCCTATAGAGTAGCTGTGTTATACACAGAAACTACTAAATTCTGGAGTCGTGCAGTCTCTCAATATCAATGTATTTATCTTACAAAACAGCAGATTAATAATTTAAGATAGCAGTAAACATTTTAAAATATTATTACAATGGATATACCACATGTATTTTAAAATGTCTGTTATTTAGTTTACTTCATTTAAAAAAATCCTCTAATAGCTACATCAGAGGCAGATGTTGCTGAACAATAAGGGCATGAAGATACATACAAGCCAGTTGCCATGCAAGGAAATTATCTGGAGCAAATCTTCAAAAATGTTGTGAGTGTCGTAGCAGGAAAATGAACAAAAAGCAGGCTTTTTTTCTTCACTCTCCTCTGACTTGTTCAAAAATAAGGCAAAATATGACACTAGTAGCCAAACTTCTAAATTAATAGTTTTGATAGGTTGTAAAATCTAAGTAATTTCATTATTTTCCATGAGGCATATCACACAATTTAACCGTCTGCAAGACCAAGACCAAGTTAAGAGGCTGCCTAGCTAATGTGCTTCATTAGTCTCCCTAGCTTCAAGCAGGACTGAAAACCTGAAGACACTGTCCAACTTCATGCTTGCTGGGACAAGCTGGAAGCATGGAAGCATGGCAAAAGTCATGGAGCAAGTCATGGAACAAAGCTCCTTTTCAAAGAAAATAGTATCAGTTTACTGTACCGTAAGTAATTTTGCTTTACAATGACTCAGCAGCAAGAATTAAACCAAACAGTGGCAGAGTGGTCCAAGTTACCATCTTAATGATGGGCCTAAAATGATGGAATTCTTTATGGGAATTTTCTTTTGAATGGTAAACAGGCAAAAAAATTAGCAATATTCATTCATTCTACCCATAGGAGAGGCATACAGGAGAATAAAGGGACAGAAAGGCCCTTTAGCACCTTCATACTTCTCTGCTTCTGCCCATTTGTGTCCTTGCGTGGACAGAACATGATCCTACAGGTAGTACTATGATTTAAGAACAGACATATCTCCTGAATCTGGCCAAATACTTGCTGATGGGATAAAACTGCAATTTCTAGTAAAGGCTGTTAGTCCTCCAGAGTAAAATAAACACAAAGATTGATCTCAGATGAAGTTTAATAAGAAATGAAATATGAAATAAGAGTTCAAAATCTCAGTTATCTATTTACATTGATCTAATACCACAGATGCTATTACGTTGCTCCATTTTCATTGCCTCTCCTGTTCACAAGTAATTGTATAAACTACAATTCAATGATAACTCCTAGGCTTTAGTGACAGGTTGGCACATGAGCAGAGTGAAATTGGTTTAATCTCTACCCATTTGTATAGACATTAGATTCACTTCTACTATCTGAAATATTCAATAGGCACTTTCCTATTAGAAGCAATTTTGTGCTGAAAACACAGTAAGAAGAGCCACTGAAGTCAAGGTATGTTTAAGAAATCAGAGCCCTGAACAGGTCAGTGATTTGCTGCAAAGTAACACTGTTTGTCAAAACTATCATAGAACTGGGTAAGACTTTTGCTTATCAGAATGGCAGCATAGCTACAGTTCCCCTTTATTTTCTTTTAAAATCAAGGCTTGCTCCTAAATCTTCATACATCATTGCAGACTCTTTCCTTAATGGCACATAAGGACAGATTATCTGCTATAAGAATATTCCTGAAGTTACAAATGACCTTGATTTAAACACAGAAATGTAACTGTTTTATAAGTAACAACATTTCCAACATTCAGTTTGTATTAAGAAAAAAGCAAGTTAAATGAAAAAGAAAGCTATAATTCAAAAACTCCTATATGACTTTGATCATGATTTTTGTTTACATTTGACTTCAAAGCCATCTTTGATTTTTGTTTACATTTGACTTCAAAGCCATTAGAAACTGCAAAGTATCTGGTTGGGTTTTTTTTTATTCCATCAATTTAACTCAACTTAATTTGGTAAATAATTTTTGAAGCCATCTATATTTTATCCATGTTTAATATTCTGAGACACAAGTATCACAGTTTAACAGTCATATAAATATCTGTGCCTTTCCTTTGTTTTAAAACTACTGCCTGATAATTTTATTTGTCCTCCACTTCATTCACCACAGGAAATAGCAAAATAAATGACACCCATTTGCTTTCTCTGTATAGTCACCATTTTGTGAGTTTCTCTGATATTCCTCTTCACAATCATTTCCTTTTGGGGATAAAGAAACCTACTGTCTTTGATCTTTCTTTATACAGAAGCCACTCTGTCTATTCTGGTTGTCCTTCTTAGTACTTTTCTATAGTTCAACTTTACCTTTTTTTGAGATGGAAACACCAGAACTGTTAATGGCATCCAACATGTGCATGCATAATGCATTTGCTAGTGACATGGTGCTTGGCCTTTTATTTCTGGATTTTGAAATGTTGTATTTATTCACTTTTTGCCTACTGAGTAACTGGCTGCCATTTTCATGAAAGTATCCACATTAATTCTGACAGACTGGATGACACCGGATGCAGAATAAAACCCCATGACATTCCAATGGCAACCTCTCTCAGTTTTGAAACCTGAACAGTAATTTGTTTTCTCACCTTTGCTTTCTATTTTACAACAGACATTATTGCCAGAAAAAGAATTTATTTTTTTCTGTTAGTGTTTATGTGAGTGAAGAGCCTGGTCTATAATTTTTTGAAAAAGCTAAATGACTGTATCAACGAGATGACCATTATCCACTTGCTCACAGACTCCTCTAAAGAATTCAAATAGATTTCAGAGATCAAACTTTCCTCTACAAAACAATATTGATTTTCCTCCATTACTATCCTATTTATCCATGTATTTTTTTTCCTTTTTTTTTGTTTGTAACTATTTCTACCAATTAACACCACATGGAAGACAAATTTTCTGTAATTATTGATGTACTTCTTTTTGAAAATGAAACTTTCACCCTCCATTCCTCTAGTACAAAGGCTACACATTAAATACCACAAGTGACAGTACCACAATTTCAGATTTTAGTTATTTTTCAGTTAGAACAAGACCTGGACAACTACTATTTATTCATATTTTGCCAATTTCCTCGCGTTTGTTTTAGTGATTTGCTACATAGCTTTGTCTTTTGACACAAAAATAAGTCATTTTGCTTTTCTTTTATGACCTTAATCAGCTATGAGAGACAGTGCTGAAAGCCTTACTAAAGTCGAGTCAAATTAATATTTAGGCATTAATTACTCATAATAAGGTGTTTCTGTGGAGACTGAATTTCAGGAGTTGACAGTGCCACTTCATATATTCCACCTTTTTAACATCATTATTGTGAATGAAGCCATTTTCAAAAATACTCAGCTTTCAGTGATAACACCTCAGTATTTTCTCTAGTGGTAATCTTAGGCTTCCCTTTTAATGTCTGTGCCCTAGCTGATCATCAAACAGTAACATTTTCTAGACCAAACTTAATGAAGATATCATATGAAAAGTTCCTATCGATCTCTGTCAAAGCTAGCATATTTTATCTGCCTGAATTACTGTATAAGGTCATCCATATAGAGACAGAGGCTTAAAGCAATATTTTTCCTGGAGAAGCCCAATTCTCAGAATGGATAATAGTAAAAGACAAATTATGAAAGGCAAGGAAAACAGAGTCCTCAGAATACTTTCTGAAGAGATGCGTTTCCCACCTGTTCCTAGAAATCTATAAAAATTAGTGGTCATCTGCAGTACCATATATCCTCAGAGCATTCCACATGCACAAAGGCCCTCTTTTATCAGCCTGTCCACATTATCTCAAGGCTTCTTTTCTTGGACTTGACATTTTCATAAGCAGATTATCAATCAGAAGATAATAGCTAATACATCTTTTATTTTGTCTGCATCTCATTTCCTGCCATCTGAAATATCCAGATGAAATTTAAAGGTTAGAGATTCAACTTTACATGATCACTATTAACAATATTCTCATAGCTAGAAGATTTTCTTGGTTGATAGTTAGAACTAATCAATGATCTGTTTTAATGTTTAATACTGTTTTGCTTCCCTACATTCAGGTTTTTTTCTCCTGATAGGACTGCTAAAAGAGATATGCCAGCCTGAAGTATGATAAGGGTGAAAACTAAGCCAAAAAATGCAGATGCCATCTGGACTTTCCTCTTTCCAATTCTTTCCTTTTTAATAGTTTTATTCACCTTTTCTGTAATTTTTTTTCAGTTGTTGAATATCTTTTCTAGCATTGTTCAGTTTATTGTAGTAGTTCGTAGGCTGTACCATAATTTTCTCCAGAAAATCTAATAGAGTCTTTTGGATATAGAAATTTTGGTGCTGCCTCTACTGACTTTTTAGATATTTACTGAAAAAGTCGATTTTTATTACTTTGGAGGGGGTTAGCTCATCTGTATGCTTTAAATCTATTTTCATGCCTTTCATTTTTTTTTTCTTAGACTGCAAAGATACTAAGTTTTATTTCCTCAGGCTTGTTTTAATTAGTCCTATCCACATACACCTTCTTTGTGTCTTCTCCTTGTTTTGTAGGTTATGCCATACAGAAATAGCTTTAGATCGATTTATCCTCTCATGTTGAAGTTTTACGTCAAGTCTCCTTTCATAAGGATTTATTATTGATTGGAGCTTATGAATTATGTTTGCAATATTCGTCTTTCCACAGAACAGTTGGGCAAAACCTGATATCAATTGCTATGCCTCAGTGACATCATGGCTATTGGATATTACTGTCTTAGTCAAAATTATTTATGGTTATTTAATATTGAAATTGTGACGTAGTTTTTGCTGATCAACTTTTCTACGACCTTTGAAAAAGCTCTTAAAGTACCATGTCTCTTTACAGACAAACCCATTGTTTTTTTTTAAACAGTGTCCTGAACTATGCATTTAGTTTCATGCTCTTCTGTGGACTTGTCGAGGTCCTGATTTTCATTAACTTTGTTATTATCTGGCACAGAATTTATAATATACTTTTTTCAATGTCTCTGTCTTATTTCCCCTACTTCTTTCTGAATAAACCAATTAAACTTTAAAAATGCCTATGTTTTGAACCTCTGTCTTTTGGGGGGTGTCTTTGTACCTTGTGAATTTATAGAAAGTCTTGGAAAGTGTGCTACTGTCAGACTCTTAAATTCCACCTTTTGAAAAAAAGTCACATTACCACCATTATTCCATATTTGGCTTCACCTCTTGTGCTTTTCACTGTGAACTTCCAATGATACCAGAAACACCTGAACTGCTGCTAAAACAGTATATCTTTGCAAAAGGTCCAGGATACATAGTACCGTCATTCAAAATATCTGTAAAATTCTGTATTCAGTAAAAAAGTCTGCAGAGCCATCTAGGCTCTTAACTCTTTCATCCTTAAAGAAAGGGCATGTCTCCACAGTTGAAAAGACAGGCAGATTTCAGGTCTTTTCACTCTTTTCCCTTCTCCTTTGATTTTTACAAATGGAAAGCTAATATTGCTCTTCAAATAAAAAGAAGCCTGGATTGTTTCATACATTATTATTTGCAAAGCCTGCCAAAGACAACAACCTCCACAAAGAACTACACATGCCCAGTCACTCTAGTCTGTATGCTGTCCAAGAAAAGCAGAAACAGAATCATCTTTAAAAGACATTTTTAGAATAATGTGGGTAACCTAGAAGAGTGAGGATGGTAGAGCTGGACCTATAATCGTGTAATGTTTATATTATAGTACATAGCAGTTTTTAAACTTACCACATCCTTGGGTGGAGGCTCTACTTCCTTCTTTACTTTTTTACCCATCCTAAAAACAAAAACAAACAACAAAATAAAAGCGGACAAACAAAATCCCTTCTCTGTTTTAGGAATCAGCTTACCAGTGATTCAGAAAAGCTTGTAAGAGACTTTCTCCTTCATCTGACCCATTTAATCAGTTTGAAGAGTTCTTTGACACAGTAATTTCTATGCAGAAAGTAATCCCTTATAAAAAAACCAAACTTTCTAACATTTGAACACATTTGGTAAAATATATCTGTCAACAAAACACATAACTAAAATGAAAGATGTGAGACATCTCAGGCTCAGCTTATGATGTGGTGCAAATACATAGGACATGCTTTTCTATAAGTTAGTTTTATCTGCATCTATGTATTGGGTCTGCCTGAGGCGGAGTTAAATTTCCCCGTAGCAGCCCTAACAGTGCTGTGCTTTGTACTGGTAGGTGTTGCCAACACACTGGTGTTTTGGCTATTGCTGAGGGCATCAAGGCTGTTTCTCCAACATTGCCCCTCCAACCAGTAAGCAAGATCTTGGGAGGGGACACAGCCAGGACAACTGGCCCAAACTGACCAAAGGGATATTCCATACCATATGATGCCTACTCAGCAGTAAAAGCTAAGAGAAAGGAGAAGAAAGATGGAGGGAGAGGGGGTGAAGCACATCCTTTATTTACAACATTTGTCTTGCAGAGCAACCGCTGCACATACCGAAGCCCTGCTTCCTGGGAAGTGGCTGGATATCGCCTGCTGATGGGAAGTAGAGAAAAAAATCTTTTGTTTTTCTTTACTTCCATGTGCAGCCTTTGCTTTTGCTTTATTAAATTGTCTTTAGAGACCCAGCAGGTCTTTTTCCATCTTATTTTTTCCCCTCTCTGTCCACTGAGGAGGGGAGTGATAGAGTGGTTTGGTGGGCACCTGGTGTTCAGCCAAGGTCAACCCACCACAATGCATAAATCATATATAGAGTCATAGAACGCTTAGACTTGGAAGGGACTTTAAAGATCATCAAGTGCCAACCCCCTGCCATGGGCAGGGACACCTCCCACTAGACCAGGTTGCTCAAAGCCCCATCCAGCCTAAATCTGTGAACTTGAAGGTCCTGATAGGGTATTTCTCCATTTTTGTCTATACATTCTATGTTGGCAAGCATTCCATACAACTGCAGAACGTACAATTATGTTCTACTTTGAAAATGTGGTTCAAATTCAATTTGAGTTCTCTATTCGTATTTCACAAAAGACAAAAATCATATATGGTCTACAGGTATTAAGAAACAGTTCTGCACAGTACAAACTTGACTGATTTTTAAAAGTTACATCTATTTACACCAAGTCCAGCTTCCGTCTTCTGCTTTTTTTTGTATTAGCACATGTGCAGGTGAACCAGGAAGACCTTCTCAGCTGCATCTAACAGCAGCCTCTGAAGCATATGGATGTAATACCTCACATGGACCTAATTTCATGTGGCTTGCAAAGCCACAGCAGAGCCTTCCCATTAAGCTACAGGCAAAAGTAAAGAACAACATGACCTACTAGCACTAGCTATGCATAGAACGTAACCCAAGTTATGCCCAACTCAGGTTTGTTTTCACACTACATGAAAGTGAAATGTGCACTGTTAGTACCCCTCAGTAACTCCTCCTCAAAGGGAAACCACACGTTCACCCTCAGGCAGGACTGTCCTGACAGCTTCCCTTTGGTATAAGAGATTATTTTCTAGTGCAACATGAGCTCTAGCCTGGCTGGTTACTGAAGTCAGGTCCAGAGAGGTGATTCTGCCACTTTACTCTGCTCTGGTGAGACCTCACCTGGAGTATTGTGTGCAGGTCTGGAGCCCTCAATACAAGAAGGACATGGACCTGATGGAGAGGGTCCAGAGGAGGGCCACAAGGATGATCAAGGGGATGGAGCACCTCTGCTACAAGGACAGGCTGAAGGAACTGGGGTTGTTCAGCCTGGAGAAGAGGAGGCTCCGGGGAGACCTAATAGCAGCCTTCCAGTACCTGAAGGGAGCCTACAGGAAGGCTGGGGAGAACCTGTTTAGAAAGGCCTGTAGTGACAGGACGAGGGGAAATGGCTTCAAGCTGGAGGGGAACAGATTTAGATTGGAGATTAGAAGGGGGTTCTTTACTGTGAGGGTGGTGGAGCACTGGAACAGGTTGCCCAGGGAGGTGGTTGAGGCCCCATCCCTGGAGATATTCAAGGAGAGGCTCGACGAGGCCCTGGGCAACCTGGTCTAGTTGGGGGTGTCCCTGCTGACTGCGGGGAGGTCGGACTAGATGACCCTTGGAGGTCCCTTCCGGCCTGGGAAATTCTATGATTCTATGATTCTATGAAGTCAGGGCTATTGTTTGCTGTGTTCAACAAACATTTGGACCTCTTCTTGAATCCTCTTAATTTTTTCAGATGTTGTTCCTCTGCTGGCCTCTCAAATAAATTGTAACACAACAGTGGTGAAACCAGTTGATAAGCACATCCTAAAAATCGATCTGAAATGTAAAACTTCATAGCCAGGTCACTAATTTTAGTTTTGAGAGGAAGACCCATACAATCAAAGCTTCTTCTGCTTCAATCCCCTTTACCCTTGTGCATATATACATACAAACACATACACATATGAACACATATGAACACATACACACACACACTAGAATTCAGTGTTTCAGAAAGCACAGCTTTGGCTAGAGGCAAATCAACTTATATGAGAAAGCATAAGGACAAATTACTGACAGTATATTCAACAAAAATAATGGACATACTACCTCCTGATTTACGCAGTCACTGCAGAAAGTAAGCATCATGCACATATACAAGAATCAGATTTACAGAGACATTCAGGAAATCTGGGTTATTTAAATTGTGTTAAATCCTGGTATGGAGATATGGACACTGGCTTAGAATTTTTCCATTCAGCTCAATTAATTTCAGATATAAATTAAGTTAAAGTCATAAAAAGCCATTTTAATTTTGAATGAGTTTAATTAGGTTTAAACTAAACTATTTTAAAAGTTAATAAAGTTAATTAATGTAAAAGTATTTATAATGTTGTACAATTAATGTTCACAGATTCAAATAATTTTACATATTCCAAGACTGTGAATAACTTAAGTCTTTAATTGTAAATATTTCTTCACGCTTTATAAATACATCCAACTTCTGAGCATATTTTCAAGAAACTAACACATTTTTCTACAGGTCCAAAAATATTTGGTTCCTTGGTAATATTAAAAAAGCAGTATAATTGGTAGCAAAAAGCATAGAGAACACAACTTTATTGTGGATTGTGCCCCTCAGTCTGTTTCTTTGCTGCAGTTACTACTCTGGATTTCAATGCATTCTGCCATCAAATGTTGATGTTTGGTTTGTTCCCATAAAGCTCTCTGTATTCAGTGGTCATTTTTTGACTTGAGGAAAGGATGCATGTAGAATTCTTTGGCTTACTGATAATTAAAAATGTGTCTTCTGCATTGAATTTTAATTCTTGCTGACAATCAATGTGTACAGGTATTGAAAGGCTACTGACCCATAAAAGAACTTCTTATTCAAATCCCTTTCTCTCCATGATAACTGCATGCTCTCTTTTTCTCCGTAGGTTTACAGTATGCATAGCTTTGTTTCTCAGTTTACTGTTCTAAATATTTAGAAATCAGAAAAAAAAACTGTAGTAGGATTGAGATTTTTAAATCTGATTAAATGCTGAGTCTATGTTACCTGAAAAACTTCTTTTAAAAACTTAAGACTCTATTCGCTAGTAATTAACTGTAAGTAGTTAAATAAATTAATTCCTGAATAAATTAGCTGCTCATGGCTTGGATGCATGTACTCTTTGCTGGGTTAAAAACTGGCTGGATGGCCAGGCCCAAAGAGATGTGGTGAATGGAGTTAAATCCAGTTGGTGGCCATGCACCATGCACCAGTGCTCCCCAGGGCTCAGTATTAGGGCCAGTTCAGACATAGTGCTGAGGGACATGGTTTAGTGGTGGACTTATCAGTGCTAGGTTAATTGTTGGACTTGATGATCTTAAAGGTCTTTTCCAACCTAAACAATTCTAAGATTCTAATTCTTAAAGACAAAATAAAGAATATTCTCATTTGAGTAATATCTTTTACTTCATGTTCTGTAGGTTTCTAAAATCATAGCAGCATAGTTTATCTACAATGTTTTTTGAGATAAAATGCTTGATTGTTTTAAGTCATATAGAACTAGAGGTAATAAAGGACTTTGACATAGCAGATGTAGCCAATGTATAGTCAATCATTCTATGAAGTTGCCATTCTATGCTAGTTCCTGTCCTTCACCTGGAATTCATTGCCTTCAATGGTAGACTTTGCTTTGCTTTACTTTGCTCCTATCCAGTTTCAGTGCAGTCGTCTAATAAGGTATTGTCTCTCAGCAAGCAGGACAGTCATTATATCTAACTAAATCCTCATTCCAAAGCTACAGTCCCCAATGCTCTCCTCAGCTTTAGCTATTCTTGGTGCCTGAGCTTGGCAGGCATTTCCCTGTTTCACTGAACTTCATTAGGGCCTCCAGTTTTCCCATAGGACCAGAAATACCCCAGTGTGAGTATCCACCAGTATCCAGAAACTATAAGCAGTGTTCACTATCAGTGCTAGGTTAATTGTTGGACTTGATGATCTTAAAGGTCTTTTCCAACCTAAACAATTCTAAGATTCTAATTCTTAAAGACAAAATAAAGAATATTCTCATTTGAGTAATATTTTTTACTTCATGTTCTGTAGGTTTCTAAAATCATAGCAGCATACTTTATCCACAATGTTTTTTTGAGATAAAATGCTTGATTGTTTTAAGTCATATAGAACTAGAGGTAATAAAGGACTTTGACATAGCAGATGTAGCCAATGTATAGTCAATCATTCTATGAAGTTGCCATTCTATGCTAGTTCCTGTCCTTCACCTGGAATTCATTGCCTTCAATGGTAGACTTTGCTTTGCTTTACTTTGCTCCTATCCAGTTTCAGTGCAGTCGTCTAATAAGGTATTGTCTCTCAGCAAGCAGGACAGTCATTATATCTAACTAAATCCTCATTCCAAAGCTACAGTCCCCAATGCTCTCCTCAGCTTTAGCTATTCTTGGTGCCTGAGCTTGGCAGGCATTTCCCTGTTTCACTGAACTTCATTAGGGCCTCCAGTTTTCCCATAGGACCAGAAATACCCCAGTGTGAGTATCTGAAGTGAACTAGTATCCAGAAACTATAAGCAGTGTTCACTAAACTAAATGAGACATCAAATAAGCCTGCTTTACTTTGCTCCTATCCAGTTTCACTGCAGTCATCTAATAAGGTATTGTCTCTCAGCCAGCAGGACAGTCATTATATCTAACTAAATCCTTTGCTTTGCTTTACTTTGCTCCTATCCAGTTTCAGTGCAGTCGTCTAATAAGGTATTGTCTCTCAGCAAGCAGGACAGTCATTATATCTAACTAAATCCTCATTCCAAAACTACAGTCCCCAACGCTCTCCTCAGCTCTAGCTATTCTTGGTGCCTGAGCTTGGCAGGCATTTCCCTGTTTCACTGAACTTCATTAGGGCCTCCAGTTTTCCCATAGGACCAGAAATACCCCAGTGTGAGTATCCACCAGTATCCAGAAACTATAAGCAGTGTTCACTAAACTAAATGAGACATCAGTACTTAAGTCAGTCACTGTCCTTGATAACCGATGGAGAACCAGTCAACACAGTCAATAGCTCTTAAGGCAGATTCATCCTAAAGTAAGTATCTAAAATTGAATTGCACCTTAAAAATAACTACTTTTTCCATGGACCAAAACCAGAGTTTAGAGTTGCTACCTCATGTATTGACATTTACATTTACACTGACATCTAAAGTTACTGAGATAAACTTATTACCCTGTTTCTCCACATGAACCCACATGCCAGGCTTAGGTCTGGCAGATATTATCAGAGTAGACTGAACATTTATTAGCAGAACTAGGCATATGACAAAACACAGCCACCTTGCCTTTTTAAAAGTGGCTGAAGGAATAGGCCCATCTCCAGAACATCTTGCCCGTAAGTGGAAAACGATCATGAGGAAGGTCATAAATGTAGACATTTTAGTTAAAAACTGGAATCCTCTAACCTCTTGGCTATTATATCATGAACTGGCATCTCTGCCGTGTCAAATAAAATAAGGAAAATTTATTTACTTTTTGAAAGATTTGTTGCAGATGCCTGCCCAGAGGAGCAAATTCCAAGTACTAGATCACAAGATAATGATGGCCACAATCCCTGTACTTACTTCACTTTATTGTCTTGCTCTAGGAATCTCTCTGCTCAGTGTGAATAGTTTCTTAGATTGCCAATCTGAGATATCAATTTATTTCTAGTCACTATACTTTTTTTTTTTTAGATGGTGGATATTTTTTAGATGATGGATAGCAAGTGAGCTGTAACAAAAAGAGTCTATAAATCATACTTTGAAATATGAGGAAAGTCTTATGGTGGTTTTTCTGTTCAAATTACTGAAATCTTATAAACAATTCCTTTACAGTGTGGAGTGTATACCTATACTATTAGAATCCTGTTCCCTACATTTAAAGACCATAATATTTCGTGGTTTTAAGTCAGACAATGCAGGTAGATAACGTCACCTGTTCCATTTGCATCTTCTGTTTTCTAAAACCTTAAGTAACTGACACAACAACCTAATACCCAGCACATACTGAACGTTAGTGAGACATGAGACAAAGAACAGGAATAAGTCCAAGACACAGCCAAGCTGTGGAACTTACCTCTTAGTCAAGGAATCAAAGGCCTCTTCTGAGAGCAATTACTCCTATGGAAAAGCAGTGCAGAGAAAAGGATTTAAGAACAGATTCTAACCAGTTATCTTATTACATGTTTCACGTCGCAAATAAACTGTCCCACGCTTTAAGACAGTCTGTAGCTGTGTTTCTACAACCTGGCCATGATTTTCAGGCTCTTCCCAAAAATGATGCACAAGTGAGATTCTTTTTGCCTTCCAAGTGATAATTATGTAATCTCAATTTAGTCTAGCTAGTTTAAATGAAGTCTTGCTGTTTCTTCTCGTCTCACAGAAATTAAAATCCTTTTTCTGTGGTGACAGTGAAAATTGCCTATATATTGATCATCTTCATTGATTGTTTCAATTAATTTCTGTATGGACACTCTAGTTTTGCTGCCTTCCAAAGCAATCAAAAGGAAGATACTAAAATTATAATCATAGCATTGGCAGAAAGTCTCACTCGTTTCTTAGGTCCATAAACTAGTATGTCCTTTCTATGCCAGCTTAAATACACTCTCAGGCAGCTTTGTCATAATTAAGAGAACAATGTGGAATAATCTTGAAAGTTTATAAACTATACACACACAAAAGAATAATTAAAAAAAAGCCCCAAACTGAAAGATGCAGAGTGAAGTACTTTGCAGACAAACCCTTAAAACCAAAATGAGTTCGTAGTAAGATGCCAGGCTGAGGAAATACCAATGGGAGAGAGAAGGTGGGGATTTTAGGTGAGCTAAAAGAAATACAATTATTTATTTAAGATCTCAGAACTTTTAAGACACATTAATACTTTTTATTTGCTTTCTGATATCACATTAACATTCAGCTGAGTGTTACTTTCAAGAGCCCAAGGGTAGATGCTTAGATTTCTAACAAGAGTCTAGATTCTCAGGTATTTGATTCCACAAAGTAATGCTGTGAAAATATATAAGGTTTGCAATAAACTTTTGACTCACGTACAGCCTCTGATCGATAGCAGCACCTTTTTTCACACTGCCCAAGGACCATACTTCACTGTTTTCTGAAGCTGAACAGCTTGGTACACCTAGTAAGAGGTGTACTAAGGCAGGAGTGTTTCAGTCAACATGTTAAGATCTTAAGCTGTAGAGGCAGAATATATTCTCCAATGTGTGCAGTGTAAAAGATGATGTATGAATGTTAATGAAAAGAAGTAATGGGAATTGAAGAACATGATAGTATTCTGTCCAAATCACAGAATAACTAAGAGGCTTCAGCACAAAACCCCTCCTTCACTGAATAAGAACAGTCTTCCATGGCAGACCAGTATCCTGCCTCCAGAGTGGTAAGAGCCAAATGCTTCTGATAAATGCATGAAACCAATCCCAAAAGTCAAATTTCCTCCATCTGTTACAGGGTTTTTATTTCCCTTAAGTACAAAGGTTTAGATCTCCTGAAGTTTTTATGTTCTTCGTAACAATAGTAGCTATTTTTACTGTTCACATCAATGCTTAATCCTTTTAGTCCTCATTCCTAATCTGACATGCTACAGCACAGGTCCAACTGACAAGTGTACTGTGTAAGGAAGTACTCCTTAGATTTTTTAAAAAAGTAAACAGCTTTAATGTGTTAGTCAATTCAATACAACATCCCCCTGTTCTTGTATTACAACTGTAGTTAAGAGATGCCCTGACTTGATCTTTTCTACTTTCTTTTATAACTCCCTGTACATTATGATTTATCACCTTTCTAAGCCGCCTTAATTATTTTTTCCATCTAGCTTTTCCAGACATATATGTTTCTTGTCTCAGAGTCCCTGTGTGGCTGTTAAATCTCTCAGATATGATGAACCTAACCTGAAATACCATAATCAATTCTAGAACACTACTGATTTATTCCAGTGACATTATAACTTTTTGGGTACTAATTTTTACCAAATTTCCTTAGTGAAGATTTTCACAAAGATATTCACATATGGTAAATAGGTCATTTTCCCAGTTGATCACAATTAATTTAGCTTCATTGCTGAAGTTGTGCCAAATGTTCCCAGCAGTGTAAATGACATTGGTTTCATCAACAGTGAATTTTATCTGTCACGGTGTTACCAGCTCACCTAACTGCAGAAGAGATCTCAGAAGTTTCTGCCAGTCTTTTTTAGTCTCAGCATAAATTATTTCATCTCACCAGAAAAATCTGATTTCTCTATGTTACTGCTCATTTCCAAATTATAACATCAGACCTGGGATCTATCCTTGGAGAATCTAAGCTGTGACAACCTGAATGAAGGAGATTTTTAGGAGTTATGTGTGTGATTTTAAGTGTCTCGTTGAGATGTATAGTGAAATCCCTCATCCCATGAGAAAGAGACTGAAGAAAAATTGACTTAGTCTAAAACAAATGAGAGAGTAGCCACCCAACCACTGTCTGAACAATAGTAGCAGGGCACTTTTCATACAGAAGTCAAAGATGGTCTGCCTGAAGAAGAAAGACATTTTAAAAACTAGTGAAAAATTAAAGACACTCCTAAATTTTTAGCCAGCTGTGCCAATCTACATGTCTTCAAATGAATGCTTCCTTCTGCCGGTTTCACAGGGACATCAGGCTGAAAGGGACATTCTGAACCATCGGATTCATTCCCCTCCCCATCACAGACACTGCATCACATTAATCCCACCAGGTACCTATCATGCTGTATCTTAAAAATCGTTAGGTATTTTGTTCCTATTTCTCTCCTTAAAGAGCTGATCCACAAGCTGATTAGTCAGACAGGCAGGGACCTGTTTTAATTTTTAGTCTACATTTATTCATGACCAGTCTACTGTATTCATGTCATGTTTGAACTGCTGTCAATTACTGTCTTTGCTGGTATGTATCAAAAAACATTATTTATATGAAATATTTATACTATACAATATATATACTATATTCTATACATACAGTATAATATATATACACTATATATATTTAGAGACATAGACTCAGAATATGTTTGAAGATAAAATGAAAACAGAGTGGGGATATGTTTGTTATTAGGTTAAAAAACTCTTCTAATGTCCTGCAAAAAATGATTCTTCATTCCCCACGTCACTCTCTTAAGCCTTTTTTAAGTCAAATTCTTGAAAACATGGATGACCACAGCTGAACACAGCATCCCAGATGAAGCCTCTCCCAACTTGTACAAAATTGTACTCATACTTTTTTGTCAACACTAGAAATACCTCAGCTGTGTTACTATCACATTCATGACTTTTATGGTTGTGTCAAACTGACAGGATAGTGCCCTATCATTTAATTTTAACTGTTCATTTAACAGGCTTTAATATGTTAACAGTTAAAAAAAAATTCAAAAGAAATGTTACAGTTTAGGACAAAAATACAAGTAGCAGGTTTGCAAACAAAAGTAGGAACTATAGGACATACAAGCCCACCTTGGAATTCATTGTATTAGAAAAACATTAGGTAATCAGAAAATGGCTGCATGATAAAAATTTTAAAATGAAAAGAAAAAAAAAGGAAATCTTGCTTCCATCAACAAAGGTGAGAAAGTGAGTTTGCTCAGTCAATGAACAACAGAAAACAGACGCTTGTCTTACATAGGTTAAGATAATACAATATCAGACTACCTTACATAGATAACTTCAGATTAGCAACAAGATTATAGGAGTTCTGTTCTACAGATGATGCTCCTCTGACAGAATATCCATACTTTGTTTTTGAAATTCCTGTGTGCAGGTGCCCTGAAACCTTTGAAACATGAATAAACTAGGGGAGACTTCTTTCCTAATAGCCTAATCATCTGATAGCGTTCTTGAAGATAAAACTTCTGTATTTAAGATTTCATTCCTTTTTTTTTTTGATGAGAAAGGGTCTCATCCCTTTCATGTTACTGTCACACATAAATTCTACATGTCTTACCTATGTTAGCTGTACACTCTTCTTTCTTTGTTCATATTACCTATCCAAACTTTTAAATAAAACTCTTTCTCTCTACCATGCAAGGTTCCTCAGGGCAGGTCCACTGCTCTTTCTTGCTTCCCAGTTCACACCTGAAAATACTAGTCTCAGTTACCCCTCAGTCCCCCCAATGTCTCCCAGTTTCCAGTAGGAAACAGCATCAAGAGCCCCCTAAATGCAGGATTGCCCCTGCCTGGTTTTAAATGTTATTTACGTTCAGTCTGATATACTTCACCTGTTAGCAAATCATACGGTTTTATTATAAATCTTGCAACTATCACTGCTTTTCTGTAGAGGCCATTATCAAGCAGACAGCAAGAAGTTTTTAGGGGCTTTTTGGTTGCGGTTGGAGGAAAATTCAAGGTACACCTTTAAAAAAAAAATAAGAAAAAGAATCATTATTCTTTTTCAACTTTGACTCGTGACTTTCGAAGGCCCCCAGATGTGGGGCCCTCAGGGCACGGGTGGAACCGAACCCCCTCCACAGGCGTGGAACCGACCTTCGAGGGCTCACTGGCCCGGCGGCAAGCGGGCTCTAACGGCCACCGCCACCCTTCCATCGCCACCCCGGCCCCTCACTCGCCACCCACACAAATCGGGGTATTACTACAAACTCGGCGCCGCCGGCGACCCAGCCCTCCGCCCTGGCGGTACCCGTCCCCTTCGCCCGCCTTCCTTCCGCCACAGGCTCGCAGTGGAGAACCCCCTCGCCCGCTCCGGGCCTGCCGCAGCCCCCAGCCCTCACTCACCGGCCGCGGCCACGCCGCGCCGCCCGGGGGCGACCAGGCAGCAGCGGGCCCGCGCCGGTGTTGCGGCGGTTGCCAGGAGACGCCCGCGGCGCATGCGCTGAGGGGCGCGCGGGGCCGCGGGCGGGAAGGTGGGGCGGGCTGAGGGGAGCCGGGCGGGCTGAGGGGAGCCGGGCGGGCTGAGGGGAGCCGGGCGGGCTGAGGGGAGCCGGGCGGGCTGAGGGGAGCCGGGCGGGCTGAGGGGAGCCGGGCGGGCTGAGGGGAGCCGGGGCCCGCCGCCACCGCGCCTTCCCTACCCGGGCCTTTCCCCGTCGTCCCCGGGCAGAGGCTTCAAGTGCCTTCCTTTAATTCGAATTTCCAGAGCCCTTGGAGAGTGCTTTCACCTCCACACGTGTGTTCATCCATCTCTCCACGGCTTTATCCCATCTCCAAGGTGCTGGTAACCAACACATCTTAGAGGGAAGCATTAAGTCACTGGTGCTGGTGGGCTGGGATAGTGATGAAAAAAATAAATCAGTTATTTCTCAAAACTTAAAAAAAAACAACACAAAAAAAAGGCTACCTTCTCACCCAAAGAACACTCAGTATTTCTAAAATTTAACAGAAGTGCAAGTCTGTCTTGAAAGTTGCCAACCCCACGCCTTCCTTTTATTGTCTCTTGTTCCTGTTTCATCATAGAATCATGGAATGTTTTAGGTTGGAAGGGATCTTAAAGATCATCCCTAACGGCCACCGCCACCCTTCCATCGCCACCCCGGCCCCTCACTCGCCACCCACACAAATCGGGGTATTACTACAAACTCGGCGCCGCCGGCGACCCAGCCCTCCGCCCTGGCGGTACCCGTCCCCTTCGCCCGCCTTCCTTCCGCCACAGGCTCGCAGTGGAGAACCCCCTCGCCCGCTCCGGGCCTGCCGCAGCCCCCAGCCCTCACTCACCGGCCGCGGCCACGCCGCGCCGCCCGGGGGCGACCAGGCAGCAGCGGGCCCGCGCCGGTGTTGCGGCGGTTGCCAGGAGACGCCCGCGGCGCATGCGCTGAGGGGCGCGCGGGGCCGCGGGCGGGAAGGTGGGGCGGGCTGAGGGGAGCCGGGCGGGCTGAGGGGAGCCGGGCGGGCTGAGGGGAGCCGGGCGGGCTGAGGGGAGCCGGGCGGGCTGAGGGGAGCCGGGCGGGCTGAGGGGAGCCGGGGCCCGCCGCCACCGCGCCTTCCCTACCCGGGCCTTTCCCCGTCGTCCCCGGGCAGAGGCTTCAAGTGCCTTCCTTTAATTCGAATTTCCAGAGCCCTTGGAGAGTGCTTTCACCTCCACACGTGTGTTCATCCATCTCTCCACGGCTTTATCCCATCTCCAAGGTGCTGGTAACCAACACATCTTAGAGGGAAGCATTAAGTCACTGGTGCTGGTGGGCTGGGATAGTGATGAAAAAAATAAATCAGTTATTTCTCAAAACTTAAAAAAAAACACCACAAAAAAAAGGCTACCTTCTCACCCAAAGAACACTCAGTATTTCTAAAATTTAACAGAAGTGCAAGTCTGTCTTGAAAGTTGCCAACCCCACGCCTTCCTTTTATTGTCTCTTGTTCCTGTTTCATCATAGAATCATGGAATGTTTTAGGTTGGAAGGGATCTTAAAGATCATCCAATTCCAATCCCCCTGCCCTGGGCAGGGACACCTCCCACCAGACCAGGTTGCTCAAAGACCCATCCAGCCTGGCCTTGAACCCCTCCAGGGATGGGGCAGCCACAGCTTCTCTGGGCAACCTGTTCCAGAGTCTCACCACCCTCAGAGTGAAAAGTTTCTTCCTGATATCTAGTCTAAATCTACCCTCTTCCAGTTTAAAACCTTTATTCCTCATCCTGTCATAAACATGCCCCTCTCCAGAGTTCTTGTAGGCTCCATTTAGGTACTAGAAGGCCTTAATAAGGTTTCCCCAGAGCCTTCTCTTCTCTTCTGCCTGTCTTCACAGCAGAGTTGCCCCAGCCCTCTCATGATCTTCATGGCCCTCTTCTGGACCTGTTCCAACAGTTCTGTGTGGAGGGCTCCAGAGCTGGACACAGTGCTCCCATCCTGTCATAAACATGCCCCTCTCCAGAGTTCTTGTAGGCTCCATTTAGGTACTAGAAGGCCTTAATAAGGTTTCCCCAGAGCCTTCTCTTCTCTTCTGCCTGTCTTCACAGCAGAGTTGCCCCCCCTCGCCCGCTCCGGGCCTGCCGCAGCCCCCAGCCCTCACTCACCGGCCGCGGCCACGCCGCGCCGCCCGGGGGCGACCAGGCAGCAGCGGGCCCGCGCCGGTGTTGCGGCGGTTGCCAGGAGACGCCCCCCAACTCGCTGGCCATGCTTCTTTAAATGCATCCCAGGATATGGTTGCTTTTGGGGCTGCCACCACACATTGCTGGGTCGTGTTGAGCTTCTCATCAACTTGCTGGCCACGCTTCTTTAAATGCATCCCAAGATATGGTTGCTTTCGGGGCTGCCAGCACACATTGCTGGGTCATGTTGAGCTTCTCATCCACCAACACCCCCAAGTCCTCCTCAAGGCTGCTCTCAATCCGTTCTCTGTCCAGACTGTATTCGTGCTTGGGATTGCCATGACACAGGTGCAAGACCTTGCACTTGGCCTGGTTGAACATCAGGTGGTTTGTACAGGCCCACTTCTCAAGCCTGTCCAGGTGCCTCTGGATGGCATCCCTTCCCTCCAGTGTGTCAACCGTGCCACACAGCTTGATGTCGATGGTAAACTTTCTGAGGGTGCACTCAATCCCACTGTCCATGTCACCAACAAAGATATTAAACAGTACCGGTCCCAGTACCAAACCCTGAGGAACACCACTTGTCACTGCTTGCTGCTACATCGAGCCGTTCACCTCAACTCTTTGAGTGCGGCCATCCATCCAGTTCCTTAGAACCCTGAGGAACGCCACTTGTCACTGCTTGATGCTTAGACATCGAGCCGTTCACCTCAACTCTCTGAGTGCGGCCATCCATCCAGTTCCTTATCCAATGAGTGGTCCATCCATCAAATCCCTATCTATCCATTTTGGAGAGAAGGATATCATGGCAGACAATGTCAAATGCTTTGTTCAAGTCCAGGTGGATATGTCAGTTGCTCTGAATGAAGGTGAAGAGATGTTTCATTATCTCTTTTCGCTGCATTCGTGAAAAAAAAAAGCTGAAAAAGCCATCCGTTCTTGGGAGCAAACAGATAAAACAGTGAGATGACTCTGAAGAGGGCACAGGCAAATCTCTTCTGGAGCACCACCGGTTGTGGCCCCTCTGGTGAGACATTGGCACAGAGCTTTGTCAGAGGGCCAAAAGAGCCAACTACTTTCTGTTATCAGCTCTGGGTTGATGATGGAGAAAGGCATGCTGTACTGCTAGTTGTGCTATTCTCAGAAGAATAATTCATTGTAGTATTCTCTTTTGCCAGCCGGGGCTATTTTGGAAGAAATACGAAGCCAAATTCTAAAATCAAATAACATTCTCTGTCTTGAAATGCAGCTTAATTGCTATCAGTAACTGCAGAACTAACAGGAAGCAGGAAAATATAATCATTTTGGAGCCTCAAAGTCAGGTAATAATAGGTAAAGAAATTACAGCTGCTATCAACTATCTCCTGTGAGTCCTTTTTATCACAAATCTCATTGCCGTCTCCCCAGATTTCTTGTAATGCTGCACTGCAAGTAGAAATTTAGTTCTATTTTTACAAGTCATATCAATCTGTTGAGATCACAGCACAAACAGATCCCGGCCTTACTCTTTGGTAAAGGTGCACCATGGTAACAGAAGGGTTGGTGGGTCACTTTGAGGTGTGAGCAAGCCACATGCATGAAGGTGTCTCAGTCCACTTTTAACGTCACCAGTCCCATAGAAAATTTATGGAGATTTATAATCACCTTCATTGGAAAGCAGCTGCGACGACAAGTCAAGAACCATTTATACTGACCTGTATCTCAGCAGACAGGAGGAATCACACTGGACTTTTGACTGACAGATACTCCATGAAGTCTGGCTGATCTCTCATGTTTTTACAATGGTTAGAAGAAGCTCCCACTGGCAGGGGAGAAAGGGAAAAATTTTGCAGTAGCTTGGTAGAGGCAAGTCATCTGCTTCGCAAACTTCTTCATGGGCTTTTCTATCCCTAAACAGCCTTGGGCACTACAGTGTTGGGCAGGTGGTAGAAATATAACAAGAGATGAATGTAAACACTGAAAGGCAAAGATTTGCTTTTAACTCTGTGCTGAGTCTGGGGTGGAGTTAGTTTTCTTCGTGGCATCTTGTGTGTAGATTTGTGACCAAACCAGCACTGATAACGCAGCAGCGTCGTAGCTATTGCTAAGTGGTGCTTGCAGAATGTCAAGGCCTTCTCTGTTTCTCACACTGCCCTGCCAGCAGGTAGTCTGGGAGTGGGTAAGATGCTGGGAGGGGACACAGCTGGGAGAGCTGACCCCAACTGACCAAAGGGTTCTTTTATGCCATATAACATCAGGCTCAGTAATAAACCTGAGGGGCTATTGTCTTTCCGATATAGCTGTTGCTTGGGGACTGGTCTGCTTGTAGGATGTGCTGGTGGGGGCTCAGTTGCTGGTTGGGATCTACTCACCACGAACCC